ATATATATATATATATATATATATATATATATATATATATATATATATATAAGGCAAATCTATTTTTTACGAAGTGTTAGTTACATTTATTTCTAGTAATTAATAAAAAAATAATACGTTAGTAATGCGTTAGTTATTACATTAAATACAATAGCAGAAAATATTATTATAATGCTATTAAAATTTAAATTATTTTCGGTATTTAATTAATAAACGTTTAATAGGTATTTATTATAATATCGAATTAATTTTATAGAAAAAATGGACGGTTAAATACGTCAACTATACGTCTAAAAATAAAAAGTTTATGTTTGAGTGTGTATGTTGTGTATGTGTGTGTGTGTGTGCGTAAGCGCACGCTCGTATGCAGAGTGTCCCGCATAAGATGTTCAAGAAGCAAAATATAAGTAGAACAGATAAAAATGAAGAAATATTGTAGACGCCATTTTTCGAATAATCAGGTAAAATTTCGCGTTATTAAATAAAATAAATGGGCAAATCAGAGCACGCGACGTGGCAGGTGGGAGATATAGCTTGCCACAGTCGACGAAGAAAATAGACGATTGCTCGCAGGCCTATCTTATAGGCCAAAGAGGTGGACCGTTTGGTAGAACCAAATGAGATAGGCTCGCAAGCAATCGTCCATTTTCTTTGCCGGCTGCGGGAAGCCACATGTCCCGGCTGCCGCGTCGCGTGCTCTGATTGGATCAACTGTTTTATTTAATAACACGGAATTGGACGTGGTTGTTCGAAAAATGATCTCTACAATATTTTTTCATTTTTATATGTTCTATTTATATTTTTCTTCTTATTTTTATTATTTTTATTTTTATTATTATTTATTTATTTTTATTATTATTATTATTATTTTTCTTCTGGACGCCTTATGCGGGACACCCTGTATACATATATATTCTGTTTTTTGTTATATAATAAAGTTTTTTTCTATATTGTTTTCAGATCGAATTGCTTCGTACGCAAACAGAGTTTGATGACAGCTTGACTTTGAAAATTTATTTACTGGAGTTCGTTAATTATTATGCTTCCATATTTTATATAGCGTTTTTCAAGGGAAAATTCGTTGGTTACCCAGGAAAATATAATCGTTTTTTTGACTTTCGGCAAGAAGAATGCGGACCAGGTGGTTGTTTATTGGAGCTATGTATTCAACTAAGCATTATTATGATTGGCAAACAAGCCATGAATACTATTTTGGAGATGCTTTTCCCGCTATTTTATAAATGGATAAACACTTTAAAAGTCCATGTGGGCTCGAAGAAATTAAAAGATAACGAAAAAAGATATTCGTCTAGAAAATTTCTACAATGGATTAGAGATTATAAATTAGTTCAGTGGGGTCCTAGAAGTCTTTTTCCCGAATATTTAGAAATGGGTAATTATTAAATAAAATTATATATATATATATATATATATCTTACATTACAGTAACAACCCAGGTAGCAAGAAAAAAAGTCAAAAAGACAGTATTCTTTTTTTTACCTAAATGAGCTCTTCTCAAATATTTTAGATATGATCTTAAGAAAACGAAAAAAAGTCGTCACCCCACTAGATGTCATTTTGCGATGTCTAACTGATGATAAAAATATGGCAAATATATGACACACAATACATAAAATTATTGAATATTACAAATATATTCATTTATTATTCTTACAAAAATTTACAATGATTGAATACTGGCAGTATTTCAGTAATTATAATTATTTAGACAATTATTAATTTAAATTTAATCATGAGTTAAATCAATTGTTAATGTGATTAAAGAATATTATTTGGAGTAAATCATGTTGAAACAAATGAAATAAAATAAATTAATGTTTGATCATTTTTTTATATAATAAAGAAAACTGACATTTCATTTTTTACATTGTTACATCTTTTTACTTCATACGCATGACCCATTGTGGTTTTAATCCAGTAGCGGTCACTTATTCTTTTGCTAGCCACAATCTAATATTAACATTGAATGAAGTCATATAAAAAACCATTGATCCTAGATTGCACAAACACTTTACTATGTTATTGATAGAAACAGAATTTAGCCGCCATTAATCGTTATCTCTATTTTTGAGTCTGTCATATTCTTCTATACCTGAGTGTAATCTATACTATATATCTTTGGGGATATTGTGTGTTGGGCGGTTGCCTCTTTTAATACGTGATCGGTCGCTCGCGGGGAGGATGTAATGACACTCGCTGTTCTTTTAACAAGTAACAAGAATCATTTATTGGTGTGTGCTACACGTGTGTGTATGTGTACGTGTGTGTGTTTGGAGATTGTTCCCTGCGTCTTGTGGCTCGTCGAGCCGTCGCGTTCAGTCCCTTGCTCTGGGGACGACGCGTCCTTCTTCGCTGGGAGCTTCCACGGCACGGTGATGAAGACGTCGGTCGCCGCAGATGCTGGCGCTGAGAGAGGTTCCCACAAAGGTGGGGACGGCGTCCCAGCCCGCGTTGGTGAGGGTGTCCGTGTCCGCGGCGTCTGACCTGATGGACCTTCTGACTCGGCCTCTGGGGAGCTGTCTCCAAACAGCTGGTACAATTGTTGGTGGCCTCGTTGCCGCTTCTTCAGCGGACACGCTTTTCAGCGCGGAGTATCGCTTCTTCAGCGCGAGGCGCACTTCTTCAGCGCGAGGCGCACTTCTTCAGCGCGAGGTATCGCTTCTTCAGCGAGGCGCACTTCTTCAGCGCGAGGTCTCGCTTCTTCAGCGAGGTGCACTTCTTCAGCGCAAGGTATCGCTTCTTCAGCGAGGTGCACTTCTTCAGCGCAAGGTATCGCTTCTTCAGCGAGGTGCACTTCTTCAGCGCAATGTATCGCTTCTTCAGCGCAAGATATCGCTTCTTCAGCGAGGCGCGTTCTTCAGCGCGGCGCACTTCTTCAGCGAGGCGCGCTTCTTCAGCGAGGCGCGCTTCTTCAGCGAGGCGCACTTCTTCAGTGCGAGGCTCGCTTCTTCAGCGAGGCTCGCTTCTTCAGCGAGGCGCGCTTCTTCAGCGCGGCGCACTTCTTCAGTGCGAGGCTCGCTTCTTCAGCGAGGCGCACTTCTTCAGTGCGAGGAGTAGCGCCTAGAGGTGCTGTTGGTACCGCTGTTGATATTAGGGCTTTTAATAAAAGTCGCCACTAATATCAGCGCAGCGGTGTGCGAGTGTGTCAGACCTCCCGCTGGGTCTGCCTTTTATTGCTGCTTAATTAGGATTTTCTCGCGAGAAAACCCCCCCGCGAATGCGCCACCGAACGGCGTTACGCGGAGGCTCTCGCGGTTGTGGGGCGGCTCGGCGAGCGGCGGCGGCTCGGCTAGCGGCGCCACGCTTGTGTGTGTGCGGATCTATATCGATCCGCCACAATATCAATTTTTGGAATTATAAATTGTTAACCATTAATTCTGATCAAACATTATTAACATTTAAAAATTAAACAAAAACGTTTGAAATTAAACAAACATTAAAAACCAATGTTAGAAATTAGAAAGCAATTTAAAGGAAAACGATTACTAAAAAGCGATTACTAAATCGCTGCTACGACTATTTATTTGTGATATTGTGAACTTTTGCAAGCATTTTTTACATGTTTTTGATATATCATCTTTCGTGTATTCTCTGAATGTAGTCTGTGAACTAAATGATTCTGATTGATTCTTTGATTGAATGATTAACTTACTTGTCGCATGTTATAAATATCTGCATTTTTTGACAAAATAATTTAAAACTTTTAATGACGACTTTTCAAAAAAAAAAAAAATATACAGAGTGTGCTGCGTAAGACGTGACAAAAGAAAAATATAAGTAGAACAGATAAAAGTGAACAAATATTGTAAAGGTCATTTTTTAAACAACCACGTAAAATTTCGAAATATTAATTAAAATAGTTAGGAATATTAGAGCGCGCGACGCGACATACGGCTCGCCGCGGCCGGCGAAAAAAATGGACAAGCGTACACGGACGCACACAGAGCTATCCATTTCAGTATGCTAAACGGCCCACCTCTCTGGCCTATAAGATAGTCCCGCGAACAATCGTTCATTTTCTTCGCCGGCCGCGGCGAGCCGTATGTCCCGTCTGTCGTGTCGCGCGCTTAAATTTTCCCAACTATTTTAATTAATATCTCAAAATTTTACGTTGTTTGAAAAACGACCTTTATAATTATTGTTCACTTTTATCTGTTCTACTTATATCTTTTGACACGTCTTACGCAGGACACTCTGTATATACAAGGTGTCCCAGAACAATCTACAAAGCTCTTATGAGAACGAAAAACGGGTTAAAATAAATATAAAAGTCATATACCATTTTACAATATTCGTAATAATAATCGAGAAATTAATTGCGAAAGATTAAGGAAAAACGTGTGCTAAAAGGTAAACATAGAGCTTATAACCCAGTAAACACAAAGTATCATCCATATTACAATTGTTATTTAACAAAGTAACAGTTACATAATATACTATATGACTGAGCTGACTTTGTAACATCGATGATACTTTGTGTTTACTGGGGAGGTCCCTAAGGGTAATATGGCCAAGTTTTTAATATGGCCAATTAAACGTAATTTGCACGGAAAAGTTTAAATCAGATTAGTATGTACTTCTTTACATGTTATTAAAACACCTGACACAATTGCCATTCTGAAATATCGCGTACAGCTCTCATTCTATGGAATCAGATCGTACGCAAACAGATGAGAATGGGCAACGGTGGAGACAGGCATACATGGACAGCAAGTCTTAAAGGATAGCAACCTTTGACTTTGAGAGACTGACAGCTGTACCATTTAGTACAATAACATTGTTTCTCTCTGTAATCGCCGTGCGTTCGGGATCGTGCCAGAGATGTCGCTTCCGAACGGCATCTCTGAGCGTTATCTAGGGAGAAGAGAATGTCGTAGGCGTAGAGCGTCAGGTAGCTCAGTGGTTTAGAGCAGTCGCCCGGCAAGCGAAAGACCCGGGTTCGAGTCCCGCCCTAGCAAAACCGTACTTTCGATATTTTTCTCTCTCTGGAACGATAAGACCGCAGATCTCGAACGCACGGCGTCCCGCCGCCACCTAGTATGCCCTCCTGTTCGATGACAGCTTGACTTTGAAAATTTATTTACTGGAGTTCGTTAATTATTATGCTTCCATATTTTATATAGCGTTTTTCAAGGGAAAATTCGTTGATTACCCAAGAAAATATAATCGTTTTTTTGACTTTCGGCAAGAAGAATGCGGACCAGGTGGAGCTATGTATTCAACTAAGTATTATTATGATTGGTAAACAGGCCATGAATACTATTTTGGAGATGTTTCCCTACTGAAAAATTTCTGTTGAGATAACAATAGAATTCCCAATTCAATTCTCAGTTGAATTCTCAATTGAATTTTCAAATGCGGTTTCCGCAAAAATTCGTATGTAAGATCTCAATTGAGATATTTATATCTGATGGAAATAATTTACTGAAAATATAATGAACTTTCGCTGAAATGCTTTTGAAAAGCATTCACAATTTTAACCCAATTTCATTAAAATTTCATTATAATTTCATTAATATTTCAATAATATTTCATTAAAAATGTAGAAAAATTCTATGAAAAATCATTATTAAATAAAATAGATTGAGAAAAATATAATATTATATTATACTTAGTATATAAGTATATTATTTTGTCTAAATAATGAAAAAAAAACTGTAATTTCATATTTTGTATCATTTCACTTATTCGCAAGATTCGCGTGAATTCGATCCTGTATCACACTGTCACCCATCTTTAGATGACTATGCGCTGTTCAATGCCTAACGTCAACGATTGCACGGGACCTGGTGATGGCAATACACTGTAACAATATCGTGGTGGATTATATATACAACATACTATAAGTATACTAATATACTCTTATAAATATACCAATAATATACTCTTATAAATATACCAATATACTAATATACTCTTATAGCGTTTAAAAATGTAATGACATATTTGTCGGTAAATGTTTCAAAGGACGTAACAACAATCACAATGCGATTAATATTGATACAATGTTATACAACTAATCAAACTTTAATATACAACGTGCTCGCAAAAAAGAGAATATTCCTTCTTTCTTTCTCTCTTTTGCGGGCACGTTGTATGTTTAAATTTAATTAGTTATACAATATTATATCAATATTAATCGCATTGTAATTGTTATTACGTCCTTTGAAATATTTACCGACAAATATATCATTATATTTTTGAACGCTGTAAGAGTATATTGTAAATATAATCTACCACGATATCGTTATAGCACATTGGCATTACTAGTTCCAGTACGATCGTTGAGGTTAAGCATTGAACAGCAGCGCATAGTCATCTAAAGATGGGTGACCGTGTGACACGGGATTGAATCTACGCGATATTACGTAT